CTCAGGACCATGGGAAGGGTCTACACCCCCCAACATGGAGCTCCTCACTCCCACCCCACAGCCCTGGAGGCCCCCCAGAGAGCTCAGGACCAGCTGAAGGGTTGACACCCACCCAACCCATGGAGACCACCAAGCCCCCCTACTCCAGGAGCCCCTGGGGACACCACAGAGAGCAGGACAAGGAGTTGCCACCTCAGAGGGTTGACCTGCAGCTCTTGGGTTGCCATGGCCACCTGGCACAGGCCAGAGGCTCATGAAAGAGGTTTTGTTGTCCCCTCACCCACCCAGGGAGCTCCTCCAGGCCTGGGCAGCGTTGCCACCTCTCATTTTTTTTTGCTGTTGGTGGCTGGTGGCCAGGGCAGGACCTCCCACACAGCTCAGCCCTCCTGGCAACCAAGGCTTGGGGACACTGAGGTGCCAGAGGGGCAGCAATGACCTCTTCTCAGCCCATGCCACCCCTGCCCTACCTTGCAGTGGGTGGTGCTGATGGGGAGCCCGACGTTGGAGGCGATGACCACCGTGAGGGCAGAGGCCAACTCGATGCTGAAGCCACTGTGGGCAGAGGGGGAGGAGAAGGTGGTGAGAAGAGGGACAGGAGGTGGGTGAAGGGCACCAATCACCAATCACCCTCCTGGGTCACCTCCAACCACCCCAAGATGGGTTGAATCCTCCTGGATCACCCTCCAACCATCCAAGATGGGTTGAACCCTCCTGGGTCACCTCCAACCACCCCAAGGGTGCATGGAGGTGTTAGAGCTCCACCACAAAGCCCCAGGAGAAGGTAGAGGTCCCTCAAGCTGCTTGGAGATCTTCCCCTCTCCAATCCCCTTACCTGGATGGTGTGATGGGTGTCAAGTCCTTCCCCATGGTCTGGATGACTCTCCTGCCCCACACCCAGAGGCCGATGCAGATACCAGCACCTCCATAGAGGAGCAGCCAGATGGGAGTTGGAGCCTTGGTGGACACATCTCCTGTCTGGTAGACCAGGTAGAGAGCCACCAGGGGCCCTATGGCATTGCTGGAAGAGAAAGGATATCTGGGCTAGAGGACCAGAACATCCTTGGAAGGATTCCAGGCCAGGTTGGAGCAACTTGGCCTAGGGGAGGTTGGGTTGGAATGAGATGAGCTTGAAGATCTTAGGGAAGAGAAAGGGGATTTGGGCTAGAGGTTCTTGGTAAGGTAGAACATCCCTGGAAGTGTCCAAGGCCAAGTTGGAGCCACCTGGGAGAGGGGAAGGTGTGGGTAGGAGATGAGCTTGACAATCTACTCAAGATCATCTTGAAGACCTTCTTGAGATCATCTTAAGAGCTCAAGGTGACCTCAAAGCTCTTCTCAAGGTGAGCTCCAGCTGATCTTTCAACCCAAGCCACCTGTGACCCCATGTCCCCACCCCACCAGCCCCTGGGCCCCCAACTGACCTGACATCGTTGCCCCCATGAGCGAAGGAACCGAAACAGGCCGTGAGGATCTGCAGGAACTGGAAGAGCAAAGCCACCTCAGGCTTGTCCTGCTCATTCCACTCCTCCAAGGAGCTCCTACTCCCCTTGTGCTCATTGCCCCCAAGCTCTGCTTGGCTCCTCTTGATGTCCACATCAGAGGGTGCGTGAACATCTGCCACGGCATTGCAGTAACTGGTGTAACTGTCCATCCTCAATCTCTTCTTGGTGTCCACCGTGGCCCAAGTCAACCTGTTGTCTCCATCCTCACTGTCCTTGGCCCGCAGGGAGTCCAAGGGCATCCCACAGATGGCCATGGTGTAGGAGGTGTAGCTGTTGTTCCTCCTCAGGGGTCTGTCCCCAGAGTCCCCCATGCAGTCCCCCATCTTGGCCAGGTGGAGCTTGTGGAGAAGCTCCTTGTAGAGTCCTGAGTCCTTGTGGACAGTGTGGTACTGGGATTGGTGGCCAACAGCTTGGCTCAGGGGCACCAGGTGACCATTGGGGAGTCTCACGGCTCCTGCACAGGGGACAGGATGGGGAGAGGTGACACCTCAAGGAGGACATGGTGGGACAGGGAGGGCATGGGGAGGGACAGGTGACACCTCAAGGAGGACATGGTGGGACAGGGAGGGCATGGGGAGGGACAGGTGACACCTCAAGGAGGACATGG